CAGCCAGGAGGAAGACAGCCAGCAGGGAGGAGGAAGACAGCCAGGAGGTAGACAGCCAGGAGGGAGACAGCCAGGAGGGAGGAGGAAGACAGCCAGGAGGGAGGAGGAAGACAGGCAGGAGGGAGACAGCCAGGAGGGAGACAGCCAGGAGGGAGACAGCCAGGAGGAAGACAGCCAGCAGAGAGGAGGAAGACAGCCAAGAGGGAGACAGCCAGCAGGGAGGAGGAAGACAGCCAGGAGGGAGACAGCCAGGAGGGAGACAGCCAGGAGGAAGATAGCCAGGAGGAAGACAGCCAAGAGGGAGACAGCCAGCAGAGAGGAGGAAGACAGCCAAGAGGGAGACAGCCAGCAGAGAGGAGGAAGACAGCCAAGAGGGAGACAGCCGGGAGGGAGACAGCCAGCCGGGAGGAGGAAGACAGCCAGGAGGGAGACAGCCAAGAGGAAGACAGCCAGCAAAGAGGAGGAAGACAGCCAAGAGGGAGACAGCCGGGAGGGAGACAGCCAGCAGGGAGGAGGAAGACAGCCAGGAGGTAGACAGTCGGGAGGGAGACAGCCACGGGGGAGACAGCCAGGAGGAAGACAGCCAGGAAGGAGACAGCCGGGAGGGAGACAGCCAGGAGGAAGACAGCCAGGAGGAAGACAGCCAGGAGGGAGACAGCCAGGAGAGAGACAGCCAGGAGAAAGACAGCCAGCAGGGAGACAGTTAGGAGGGAGACAGCCAGGAGGGAGACAGCCAGGAGGGAGACAGCCAGGAGGGAGACAGCCAGGAGAGAGACAGCCAGGAGGAAGACAGCCAGGAGGAAGACAGCCAGGAGAGAGACAGCCAGGAGGAAGACAGCCAGGAGGGAGACAGCCAGGAGGGAGACAGCCAGGAGGAAGACAGCCAGGAGGGAGACAGCCAGGAGGAAGACAGCCAGGAGGGAGACAGCCAGGAGGAAGACAGCCAGGAGGGAGACAGCCAGGAGGAAGACAGCCAGGAGGGAGACAGACAAGAGGAAGACAGCCAGGAGGAAGACAGCCAGGAGGAAGAAAGCCAGGAGGAAGACAGCCAGGAGGAAGACAGCCAAGAGGAAGACAGCCAGGAGGGAGACAGCCAGGAGAGAGACAACCAGGAGGGAGACAGCCAGGAGGGAGACAGCCAGGAGGGAGACAGCCTAGAGGAAGACAGCCAGGAGGAAGACAGCCAGGAGGAAGACAGCCAGGAGAGAGACAGCCAGGAGGGAGACAGCCTAGAGGAAGACATCCAGGAGGAAGACAGCCAGGAGTAAGACAGCCAGGAGGAAAACAGCCAGGAGGAAGACAGCCAGGAGGAAGACAGCCAGGAGGAAGACAGCAAGGAGGAAGACAGCCAGGAGGGTGACAGCCAGGAGGAAGAGAGCCAGGAGGAAGACAGCCAGGAGGGAGACAGCCAGGAGGAAGACAGCCAGGAGGAAGACAGCCAGGAGGAAGACAGCCAGGAGGGAGACAGCCAGGAGGAAGACAGCCAGGAGGAAGACAGCCAGAAGGAAGACAGCCAGGAGGAAGACAGCCAGGAGGAAGACAGCCAAGAGGAAGACAGCCAGGAGGGAGACAGCCAGGAGAGAGACAGCCAGGAGGGAGACAGCCAGGAGGGAGACAGCCAGGAGGAAGACAGCCAGGAGGAAGACAGCCAGGAGGAAGACAGCCAGGAGGAAGACAGCCAGGAGGAAGACAGGAGTGAGACAGCCAGGAGGAAGACAGGAGGGAAACAGCCAGGAGGGAGACAGCCAGGAGGAAGACAGCAAGGAGGAAGACAGCCAGGAGGGTGACAGCCAGGAGGAAGACAGCCAGGAGGAATACAGCCAGGAGGAAGACAGCCAGGAGGAAGACAGCAAGGAGGAAGACAGCCAGGAGGGTGACAGCCAGGAGGAAGACAGCCAGGAGGAATACAGCCAGGAGGTAGACAGCCAGGAGGAAGACAGCAAGGAGGAAGACAGCCAGGAGGGTGACAGCCAGGAGGAAGACAGCCAGGAGGAAGACAGCCAGGAGAGAGACGGCCAAGAGGAAGACAGCCAGGAGGAAGACAGCCAGGAGGAAGACAGCCAGGAGGGAGACAGCCAGGAGGGAGACAGCCAGGAGGAAGACAGCCAGGAGGAAGACAGCGAGGAGGAAGACAGCCAGGAGGAAGACAGGAGGGAGACAGCCAGGAGGAAGACAGGAGGGAGACAGCCAGGAGGGAGACAGCCAGGAGGAAGACAGCCAGGAGGAAGACAGCCAGGAGGAAGACAGCCAGGAGGAAGACAGCCAGGAGGAAGACAGCTAGGAGGGAGACAGCCAGGAGAGAGACAGCCAGGAGGGAGACAGCCTAGAGGAAGACATCCAGGAGGAAGACAGCCAGGAGGAAGACAGCCAGGAGGAAAACAGCCAGGAGGAAGACAGCCAGGAGGAAGACAGCCAGGAGGAAGACAGCAAGGAGGAAGACAGCCAGGAGGGTGACAGCCAGGAGGAAGACAGCCAGGAGGAAGACAGCCAGGAGGGAGACAGCCAGGAGGAAGACAGCCAGGAGGAAGACAGCCAGGAGGAAGACAGCCAGGAGGGAGACAGCCAGGAGGAAGACAGCCAGGAGGAAGACAGCCAGAAGGAAGACAGCCAGGAGGAAGACAGCCAGGAGGAAGACAGCCAAGAGGAAGACAGCCAGGAGGGAGACAGCCAGGAGAGAGACAGCCAGGAGGGAGACAGCCAGGAGGGAGACAGCCAGGAGGAAGACAGCCAGGAGGAAGACAGCCAGGAGGAAGACAGCCAGGAGGAAGACAGCCAGGAGGAAGACATGAGTGAGACAGCCAGGAGGAAGACAGGAGGGAGACAGCCAGGAGGGAGACAGCCAGGAGGAAGACAGCAAGGAGGAAGACAGCCAGGAGGGTGACAGCCAGGAGGAAGACAGCCAGGAGGAATACAGCCAGGAGGAAGACAGCCAGGAGGAAGACAGCAAGGAGGAAGACAGCCAGGAGGGTGACAGCCAGGAGGAAGACAGCCAGGAGGAATACAGCCAGGAGGAAGACAGCCAGGAGGAAGACAGCAAGGAGGAAGACAGCAAGGAGGGTGACAGCCAGGAGGAAGACAGCCAGGAGGAAGACAGCCAGGAGGGAGACGGCCAAGAGGAAGACAGCCAGGAGGAAGACAGCCAGGAGGAAGACAGCCAGGAGGGAGACAGCCAGGAGGGAGACAGCCAGGAGGAAGACAGCCAGGAGGAAGACAGCGAGGAGGAAGACAGCCAGGAGGAAGACAGGAGGGAGACAGCCAGGAGGAAGACAGGAGGGAGAAAGCCAGGAGGGAGACAGCCAGGAGGAAGACAGGAGGGAGACAGCCAGGAGGAAGACAGGAGGGAGACAGCCAGGAGGGAGACAGCCAGGAGGAAGACAGCCAGGAGGAAGACAGCCAGGAGGAAGACAGCCAGGAGGAAGACAGCCAGGAGGGAGACAACCAGGAGGGAGACAGCCAGGAGGAAGACAGCCAGGAGGAAGACAGCCAGGAGGAAGACAGGAGGGAGACAGCCAGGAGGAAGACAGCCAGGAGGGTGACAGCCAGGAGGGAGACAGCCAGGAGGAAGACAGCCAGGAGGAAGACAGGAGGGAGACAGCCAGGAGGAAGACAGCCAGGAGGAAGACAGCCAGGAGGAAGACAGGAGGGAGACAGCCAGGAGGAAGACAGCCAGGAGGAAAACAGCCAGGAGGAAGACAGCCAGGAGGGTGACAGCCAGGAGGAAGACAGCCAGGAGGGAGACAGCCAGGAGGGAGACAGTCAGGAGGAAGACAGCAAGGAGGAAGACAGCCAGGAGGGTGACAGCCAGGAGGAAGACAGCCAGGAGGGAGACAGCCAGGAGGAAGACAGCAAGGAGGAAGACAGCCAGGAGGGTGACAGCCAGGAAGAAGACAGCAAGGAGGAAGACAGCCAGGAGGGTGACAGCCAGAAGGAAGACAGCCAGGAGTGAGACAGCCAGGAGGAAGACAGCCAGGAGGAAGACAGCCAGGAGGAAGACAGCCAGGAGGAAGACAGCCAGGAGGGAGACAGCCAGGAGGAAGACAGCCAGGAGGAAAACAGCCAGGAGGGAGACAGCCAGGAGGAAGACAGCCAGGAGGGTGACAGCCAGGAGGAAGACAGCCAGGAGGAAGACAGCCAGGAGGAAGACAGCCAGGAGGGAGACAGCCAGGAGGGAGACAGCCAGGAGGAAGACAGCCAGGAGGGAGACAACCAGGTGGAAGACAGCAAGGAGGGTGACAGCCAGGAGGGAGACAGCCAGGAGGGAGACAGCCAGGAGGAAGACAGCCAGCAGAGAGGAGGAAGACAGCCAGCAGAGAGGAGGAAGACAGCCAGGAGGGAGACAGCCAGGAGGAAGACAGCCAGGAGGGAGACAGCCAGGAGGGAGACAGCCAGGGGGAAGACAGCCAGGAGGGAGACAGCCAGGAGGAAGACAGCCAGGAGGGAGACAGCCAGGAGGGAGACAGCCAGGGGGAAGACAGCCAGGAGGGAGACAGCCAGGAGGCAGGAGGACCAAGTATTATAGTTTACCAATACCGAGCACGGTGTAGCGGGCGTCTCCCTCACCGCTATACCACCAGCCTCACTACCTAATGTTCCCGCAAAGTTTTTCTCGAAACATTTCTTTCTTCCCCTCATAATCTCTCATCTCCCCCCCCCCACCCTTCCCCCCGACCCCCACTTTGCCCCACCCTTCCCCCTGACCCCCACTTTGCCCCACCCTTCCCCCCCGACCCCCACTCTGCCCCACCTACTCCCCATAGATGGTACCCCTGTTGAGTGTCCCTGAGAAAGCTCGAATCGTGTTGATAAGAGGTGAGAGGGGCCAATCGCCCCCCCTGGCTCTCTGTCACCCCATGTGGTCACCCTTAGGGTCTCTTTTATGACAAATGATCGCTAATGTTATTGCATTATTGATCACGATCAATGGTATCTCAATTAACCCGAAGCTTTATCACGATAAATGTTCCTCGTTGATTTATTTCTGAGTGTAATAACAGTGGAACTTATTGAACAATGTGGCAGCACTTTGTGTTAATCTTAGCTTCATGTTCATCAAGTTGCCTCTTAATCTTAGCTTCATGTTCATCAAGTTGCCTCTTAATCTTAGCTTCATGTTCATCAAGTTGCCTCTTAATCTTAGCTTCATGTTCATCAAGTTGCCTCTTAATCTTAGCTTCATGTTCATCAAGTTGCCTCTTAATCTTAGCTTCATGTTCATCAAGTTGCCTCTTAATCTTAGCTTCATGTTCATCAAGTTGCCTCTTAATCTTAGCTTCATGTTCATCAAGTTGCCTCTTAATCTTAGCTTCATGTTCATCAAGTTGCCTCTTAATCTTAGCTTCATGTTCATCAAGTTGCCTCTTAATCTTAGCTTCATGTTCATCAAGTTGCCTCTTAATCTTAGCTTCATGTTCATCAAGTTGCCTCTTAATCTTAGCTTCATGTTCATCAAGTTGCCTCTTAATCTTAGCTTCATGTTCATCAAGTTGCCTCTTAATCTTAGCTTCATGTTCATCAAGTTGCCTCTTAATCTTAGCTTCATGTTCATCAAGTTGCCTCTTAATCTTAGCTTCATGTTCATCAAGTTGCCTCTTAATCTTAGCTTCATGTTCATCAAGTTGCCTCTTAATCTTAGCTTCATGTTCATCAAGTTGCCTCTTAATCTTAGCTTCATGTTCATCAAGTTGCCTCTTAATCTTAGCTTCATGTTCATCAAGTTGCCTCTTAATCTTAGCTTCATGTTCATCAAGTTGCCTCTTAATCTTAGCTTCATGTTCATCAAGTTGCCTCTTAATCTTAGCTTCATGTTCATCAAGTTGCCTCTTAATCTTAGCTTCATGTTCATCAAGTTGCCTCTTACTGGCCCAGAGCACACCATCTCTCTCTCTCTCTCTTCCCAATACCTTCCTTTAACTTAATCGATGCTTGTGAGAGTTTCTTATTGCAATCAAGACAGTGGTGAAAGCGCGTGTGTTGCTGCTTGATGTACTTACAACTACAATACGACAGTCCAAGTGTGCCAGCAACAGCGTGTTGCACTTGGTCTCGCTCCTAACACACATTTAACCTAACAACTCTTCTCCAACAACATGTGCGTTAGAACACTGACAAACACACACACACACACCTGCGTTCATTGTCATGGCCAGATGAGACAGTTGTCTTTCACGGGTGTCTGGAACATGTCGACGGGAGTCTGGTGTTACGAGGCCTATCTTGAGGTTATCTTGAGATGATTTCGGGGCTTTAGTGTCCCCGCGGCCCGGTCCTCGACCAGGCCTCCACCCCCAGGAAGCAGCCCGTGACAACTGACTAACACCCAGGTACCTATTTTACTGCTAGGTAACAGGGGCATAGGGTGAAATAGAGACTCTGCCCATTGTTTCTCGCCGGCGCCCGGAATCGAACCCGGGACCACAGGATCACAAGTCCAGCGTGCTGTCCGCTCGGCCGACCGGCATCCCCATGTGTCATCCCCTATGACACACTGACCACCCAAAACCCGCTCCCACACACCTGGGTGGCGCTCATCGCCCTCGGAACCCTTCAGTCGAACCACGGGTGGAACCGCTGCTCGCGATCCGGTCTTGTCCCCACGGAACAGTGAAGGAAGACTCGGTCCTTACCACCAGACGTCACTTCATGCAGCTACAGCCCTACCACTTGGGCTGGACGGTAGAGCGACGGTCTCGCTTCATGCAGGTCGGCGTTCAATCCCCGACCGTCGAAGTGGTTGGGGCAACATTCCTTTCCCCCGTCCCATCCCAAATCCTTATTCTGACCCCTTCCCAGTGCTATATAGTAGTAATGACTTGGCGCTTTCCCCTTTTTTTTAATATATATTTTTATTTTCATGGAGCTACAGCAGTTTCTCCGAGTCTTGCTCGCCCGTAACAACTCTGACAGCTGGGCAAATCTGAAAGGGGGACTCAGACCCTCTCGAGAGGGGGGCGGCTCCGTTGACGTCGTCCTCTCGGCCACCAACATTACCACACTCGTGTTGACCAGACCACACACTAGAAATTGAAGGGACGACGACGTTTCGGTCCGTCCTGGACCATTCTCTAGTCGATTGTCTCTCTCCACACTCGTTCCCACGCTGTCTCTTGCACCACACTCGTTCTACTCTTTATCCTATACTGCTGCACTGGTCTTGCCACTCCTGTTCCAATCCTCATATCTTTGCACTTGGTTGGGTTAAATTCTAACAGCCATTTTTTCAGGCCGTTTGGAGTGCGTCCATATATATTTAGAGTGCATCACAATCTATCCCGTCCTGATTTTTCTCGTCAGTTTTGTATCATCTTCAGTGATATGAAAGAGTAAATTTTCTGTCACGTCATTGACTCATTAGAGACAGGATGTGTGTGTGTGAGAGTGACTGTCCATGGCGTTTGTACCAAGCTTGTACGACACTCTAGACTATGTACGAATGGAACATATCTCATATACCAAGATATAACTATCTCTTCTCAAATCATTCACTAGCATCAGGATTCTTTCCATTACTGTTAAATCTATATATTACATTTTGAAGTGACTAGGCTTGCCTAGATTTTGGATTGACATTGAGTAAACACAATATTCCTATTTATTGCAAATGTCTTGTTTAAGAACTTTGATGACCAGAGAATTTAATTTTCATATAAATTTAGAGATAATGACAAGTAGTGGAATTTGAGTCCCAAAACTGTCATTAATTTGTATCAGGTTTGTTTAATTTTGTGTTACCATAGTCACTAATTTTACATATAATTGTGTGGTACTCAGTCACTCGTTTTACATATTATTGTGTGGTACTCAGTCACTCATTTTACATATTATTGTGTGGTACTCAGTCACTCGTTTTACATATTATTGTGTGGTACTCAGTCACTCGTTTTACATATTATTATTTAGTACCTAGTCACTCATTTTACATATAATTGTGTGGTACTCAGTCACTCGTTTTACATATTATTGTGTGGTACTCAGTCACTCATTTTACATATAATTGTGTGGTACTCAGTCACTAATTTTACATATTATTGTGTGGTACTCAGTCACTCATTTTACATATTATTGTGTGGTACTCAGTCACTCATTTTACATATTATTGTGAGGTACTCAGTCACTCATTTTACATATTATTGTGTGGTGCTCAGTCACTCATTTTACATATAATTGTGTGGTACTCAGTCACTCATTTTACATATTATTATTTAGTATCTAGTCACTCATTTTACATATTATTGTGTAGTACCTAGTCACTCATTGTTCATATTTTGGCGGATATTTTCATGACCAGAGAGCTGCATCATGAGCATAACGATCTGGTCACACTAACACTCCATGTTGTAGGTGTAAGTGATGCTACTAGGAGTGAGGGCTGGAGCACATTTCAATATTTTCAGAGATTTTATTTCTGGATAATAAAATGAAAGAAAAACGATGATTTCTGAAGAGTTCTTAGTGTATTAAAAATGTTCATTAATGTCAAAATAAATGTAATATTAGTTGGACATTTTGCAAATGATGTTGAGATGACTTTAAAATCAATAAAGAGTAAATATTTTTTGGTACGTGAAATTAAATAGTTTTATTGATAAAACCAAAATAAGCATTATATAAATATAAAAATATATATATACTGGATATAATTATTCGTAAGAAAATTAAGACTAAACTTATTCATGGGAGCTGTCTCCTCTAGATAATCTAATCTCACGAGACTAATTCACATTAAAGTTCCTCAGGGACTATCCAAAGTAATCCGAGTTACAAATATCTTGAGATCTTGAGATGATTTCGGGTTTTTTTTTAGCGTCCCCGCGGCCCGGTCCTCGACCAGGCCTCCACCCCCAGGAAGCAGCCCGTGACAGCTGACTAACACCCAGGTACCTATTTTACTGCTAGGTAACAGGGGCATAGGGTGAAAGAAACTCTGCCCATTGCTTCTCGCCGGCGCCTGGGATCGAACCCAGGACCACAGGATCACAAGTCCAGCGTGCTGTCCGCTCGGCCGACCGGCTTCCTTGTGATATAATTAAACTCATTTCACAATGGATAAAGAATAGTTTATACACTCACAAACTCCGCGCTTCCTTAAAGACTGATACATTGTTGACCAGACCACACACTAGAAAGTGAAGGGACGACGACGTTTCAGTCCGTCCTGGACCGTTCTCACAATCGACTTGAGAATGGTCCAGGACGGACCGAAACATCGTCGTCCCTTCACTTTCATGTGTGGGGTTTGGTCAACATATTTCAGCCACGTTATTGTGACTCCTCGTCTGTATATCGACAGATATACCGCAATACCTACCTTGAGGCTACCTTGAGGTGCTTCCGGGACTCAGCGTCCCCGCGGCCCGGTCGTCGACCAGGCCTCCTGGTTGCTGGACTGATCAACCAGGCTGTTAGACGCGGCTACTCGCAGCCTGACGTATGAGTCACAGCCTGGTTGATCAGGTATCCTTTGGAGGTGCTTATCCAGTTCTCTCCTATGGTACCTACATTTTAACCAATGAAAATGTCGACCTTAATGAACGAATTACATAAATTAGGAGCTGGATAACACAGTTCAGGTCGATAGCGATTACCTGAAATAAGCTGAATTAAAAATAAGAACATAAGAACATAAGAACAAAGGTAACTGCAGAAGGCCTATTGGCCCATACGAGGCAGCTCCTATTCTATAACCACCCAATCCCACTCATATACTTGTCCAACCCGTGCTTGAAACAATCGAGGGACCCCACCTCCACAATGTTACGCGGCAATTGGTTCCACAAATCAACAACCCTGTTACTGAACCAGTATTTACCCAAGTCTTTCCTAAATCTAAACTTATCCAATTTATACCCATTGTTTCGTGTTCTGTCCTGTGTTGATACTTTTAATACCCTATTAATATCCCCCTTGTTATGTCCATTCACCCACTTGTAAACCTCTATCATGTCGCCCCTAACTCTTCGCCTTTCCAGTGAATGCAACTTAAGCTTTGTTAATCTTTCTTCATATGAAAGATTTCTAATTTGGGGAATTAACTTAGTCATCCTACGCTGGACACGTTCAAGTGAATTTATATCCATTCTATAATATGGCGACCAAAACTGAACTGCATAATCTAAATGGGGCCTAACTAGAGCAAGATATAGCTTGAGAACCACACCAGGTGTCTTGTTACTAACGCTGCGATTAATAAATCCAAGTGTCCGATTTGCCTTATTACGAACATTTATGCATTGATCCTTTTGTTTTAAATTCTTCCTAATCATAACTCCCAGATCCCTTTCGCAATCCGACTTCGCAATCACAACACCATCTAGCTCGTATCTTGTAACTCTATCATCATTACCTAACCTCAGAACTTTACATTTATCAGCATTAAACTGCATCTGCCAATCCTTTGACCATTTCAAAACCCTATCTAGATCAACTTGAAGTGATAGTGAGTCCTCCTCCGAATTAATTTCCCTACCGATTTTCGTATCATCGGCAAATTTGCAAATGTTGCTACTCAAACCTGAATCTAAATCATTTATATATATTATAAACAACAGAGGTCCCAGGACAGAGCCTTGAGGCACTCCACTTACAACATTTTCCCACTCTGACTTGATTCCATTTATACTAACTCTCTGTTTCCTTTGGTATAGCCATGCCCTAATCCAGCTTAATATAGCACCCCCAATACCATGAGACTCTATCTTTTTAATCAGTCTTTCATGTGGCACTGTATCAAAAGCTTTGCTAAAGTCAAGGTATACAACATCGCAATCCTTACCACTATCAACTGCCTCAACAATGCTAGAATAAAAAGATAACAAATTTGTTAAACATGAACGG